GCCAAAGCCCTACATTTTATCAACACTGTTAGATATCTGTGAAGACATTTATAAAATCAGGCAAAAATAAAGGCAGCCCTTTCTCCTCTTTCCATGTCAAAAATTCACACAGGCTCTGTTTTAAGTAGTTGTGCTCATATTTTCTTTCACAACCATATCAACTCTGTCACAAAGATTGTAAATAAATTGTTTGGGATTTTAGAAATTTTCCTAGTAGTAACAAATATATATTGATCATATTAGTACACAGGGAAAATAAAATGTCTACTGAATTTAATATGTGATTATTTTGTCTATGCCATAAGATTTGCTTGTGATGATAGATGGACCTGAAAATCTGTAGTCTCAATTCATTCATTTATTCTTTGAAGGGAATGCTAGATTTGTAAATGATATTTGTTTGTTTTTTTACCTTTTTAAAATTATTTTTAAAAGTACAATATTTTTAGGCTCACAATCATTATAGATTATGTCTCAGGCAATTTACTTCAGTGACAGTGGATCAGTTTACTGATTTGTATATAAATAAGATCTCTTTTCTCATCCAGCTCAGAATAAGAGGATAACATTCTACATTTATATGATTCACAGTACGTCTACATTTAAAAGCTCTTAAGGGTCTATTTATGCTTAGTCACTTCAAGCGCTTGATCGATCGGATTGCAATTTGACAAGGTATGCAAATTCCTTTTACATTTAAGCACATGAAAGTGTCTCTGCCAAACAGATGCTCTTATGCAATATGCAAAAAAAAAGGAGTTCGCTTCTGTGATTAAGGTAGTACACATAAAAGCTAAAAACATTACCAAAAAAAAAACATGCCATATAATCTCTGAGGCTCCTAAACAAATAAAGGACCAGTATTAAAATACAGTTTTATCTAAATAAATTCAAAATAAAACATTAAAAACTAAAAAGGAATATTTCACTCAAAAATAAATTTGCTGTAAATTTACCCATCCTCAGGCCATCCATGATGAGTTTTGATGAGTTTGTTTCTTCACCGGAGGAGATCTGGAGAAATTTAGCATTACATCACTTGCTCACCAATGGATGCTCTGCAGTGAATGGGTGCCGTCAGAATGAGAGTCCAAACAGCTGATAAAAACATCACAGTAATCCACACGACTCCGGTCCATCAATTAAAGTCTTGTGTATTGAAAAGCTGTGTGTTTGTAATAAATTAATCCATCATTAAGACATTTTTAACTTCAAACCTTTGCTTCTGGCTAAAATACGAGTCTTCTATCCATGATATTGCTTTCTTCAGTGAAAAAGTAATCTTGTTTGAATCAGGAGAGAAATATGCACAGATCAAGCACTGTTTACAAGCAAAAACAGTCCAAAACAGTTCTAAACAATGTCTGTGGACTTAATTATGGATTATGGAGTATTTCGACGGATGGAGTCGAATAAGCAAAGCGACAGTTTAAAGTTAAAAAGCGTTAATGATGGATTTTTTTCATACAAACACGCAGCTTTTTTTCTTCTCAAGACATTAACTGATGGACTGGAGTGGTGTGGATTACTTGTGGATTATTGTGATGTTTTTATCAGCTGTTTGGACTCTCATTCTGACGCTTGTTGATCCTCTGCAGTGAATGGGTGCCGTCAGAATGAGAGTCCAAACAGCTGATAAAAACATCACAGTAATCCACACGACTCCGGTCCATCAATTAAAGTCTTGTGTATTGAAAAGCTGTGTGTTTGTAATAAATTAATCCATCATTAAGACATTTTTAACTTCAAACCTTTGCTTCTGGCTAAAATACGAGTCTTCTATCCATGATATTGCTTTCTTCAGTGAAAAAGTAATCTTGTTTGAATCAGGAGAGAAATATGCACAGATCAAGCACTGTTTACAAGCAAAAACAGTCCAAAACAGTTCTAAACAATGTCTGTGGACTTAATTATGGATTATGGAGTATTTCGACGGATGGAGTCGAATAAGCAAAGCGACAGTTTAAAGTTAAAAAGCGTTAATGATGGATTTTTTTCATACAAACACGCAGCTTTGCATTTCACAAGATGTTAACTGATGGACTGAAGTCATGTGGATTACTTGGATTATTCTGATTCCTTTCATTTTAAACAAACATCTACATCTTGGATGGCCTGAGAGTGAGTAATTTTCAATTTTGGTTGAACTATTCTTTGTTAAATGCTACAAGCAATTTAGGCAGCTCAATATTATAATTTACAGCATGAAAAAAATACTAGTTTTGAGATTGACTAAAGATTATGTTTGACAGTGTTATAAAAATTATTTTGTTATTATGTTTTTAAAGATTTGCTTAAATTAAGCAGTAAATGAAGGCAAAGGTATTGTAAATGTAAAAAGATGTCTCTATGGAGCCCCGTACATGACATGCTGGAAAAAACATATATTGTGGAATATTAGTTCCCCTGATTTAGTAAATTGTGCCTATGTTATACTAATTCATTAACTCGTTTTGATTGAACTAAAACGAGGGAACAAACAACATCTTTTCAATTAAAAAAAGCACACATTTTGGTTCTTTTCTTACTCTGTAGGTGGGCAACAACAATAAACCTTGACGGGAAGCGCTATGAAAGTGTTTTTCCATTGTGACTCTCCCTGTCATACCACATTTTAACTGTGTGAAATTATGGCTTCATCAGCCTCTTATCCACTTTCCTTAGTGCGTACTAATTCAGACACCTCTCACAACAGTAAACGGCCACCCAGACTCAAAAGTGTTTGACATAGCTGTGATTTAGCCAATTTATTGCCTTTGGACAACAGTTTGGGTTCGAACAGCTTCACCTGCATGCACACATAAAATGAAAGGTGGTCAGAGCTGAGATCTGTGTGCATAGAGTAGTTTGTGTTTGGAAACTCGCTATGTTTTCTAGGCAACTGTCATAACTGTGTTGCAGCATGGCATTCCAAGACTGAAGTGCTGTATATCACACACACACACACACACATACACACACACATACACACACGCCTTCCTTCCAGTTATTCCCTCCATGCTCATTGTCTCTCTAACCTCATCCCTTTAATGTGCCATCATTCCCCTTCCCCTTTAACCTCCTCTTTGACCCTTGTCCTTTTTTTGTCTCTTCTCTTCTCTCATCCATTATCATCACCTTTTTATTTTCTCTTTGTACTTTCAATCATTTCTTTAAGCTTCACATAACCACTCTCTCTTTTTTCAATCTCAAATTGAAATTAAAAGTATCTTGCTAACTTTTATCTTACTTCACTATTTGTTTTTCGGGCTTTCACATTTTTGATTCCCTTTCCCTCCTAACTCATAGCCATTGAAACTAAGGGGGACTGGAAAAGCAAACAGGTAACCCATAGCAACAAGGGAATTGAGGGATTCAGGCTGAGTCGCCCATTGAACTGCCTGAAAAAGTAGCAATTTTAACGGACGTAGTCCCTCGACACCTCTGTATCTCCATACTAAGTGTCTGAGATACTACTAAACAATCACTGAAGCAGATAGTTTTAATAGGTCAGTTCTTGCTTTATAAAAAGTTAAAATTATCAGATTTTAAAATACTGTTTGATTTTTTTGTACAACAGTTTTTCAAATATTAAAGAGCAGTGAAGCAGTTTTGCTAAAATATTTTTTTTCTAAGAAATAATAATAATAACAACATCAACAACAACAATAAAAGATGCCTAACTACTCAAAAGTTTGATTTTCAAGAATTTCATTCTTTTAATGAGGCTTTTTATTTGTTATAATATTAGGACAGCTATATCACCCTGATTCATTTCATTTCATATTTTTAATAGTTTACATCAAATATAAAAATGAATGCATGCTCATCATAGAAAAGGTGTATTCAAGTCATTGTGTGTATGTATTTGTAATGTATTTTTGGATAAATGAATAGATCCAGAAAAAAATAACAACATATCATTGACCCTAATATAGACTTCAACAATGGTTATTGCTGTCAAGTCTCATCTATTTTAGGTTTACAATTATGCAAAAATTCATAAAGCTTGTACATTTTCATCCAGCATTCACCTATAACAACAAACAAGCATCCCAGACCAAAAAAAGGCCCAAATGTTGATGGAACAAACACAGATCATGTCTGACAGAGGCACACAAGCTGGACGCATGGTCGTAAAAATGTGAGGTTAGGATTGGCAGGGAAAACAAAACTCTGTAGCGTGACAGTCTGCACAGCATTCCAGATGTGCCTTGGATATCCTTGTATCCATTTTTATAAAGCTAGTAAACAGTGACTAGTGTCTTCTCACACTTTTGATTGCATATACACCCAGTCACAAAAAAAAAAACCTCTTTCCCTTTAGCCAGTTTTCTATCTCTATTCAACAACTGTTTAGTTCACCAACACAGACACGGTCTGTCAAGAGTAATGAACTCAGCAGGAAAAGCCAGAGCAACAGCCAGCGTGTCTAAAAAGGGTCTCAAAACAGTTCAGCTCCCAACATTTGGCCTCTCTTCTCCCACACGAGCCAAATCGCAGTTTATTTCACAGAACTTGATCCTCATGCAGCTGCATGTATCAATGCTGAATCCCAGAACACTAATGTATACAGTATCTAAAAACCACTGCATGTCCTCCTTTCCAACTTTAGTCAACTGCCAGATTGCTTTAAATCAAATCATTGACTCAGGACGCACAAAACAAGGGCCATATGCTCAATAGGTTGGTCTAATTTATGTATCTGATTTAAGGTGATTTCAATATTGTGCTTAAAGGGATCATTTTAAAAAATGTATAAGTGTTTTTTGTCCATATAACGCAAGTCAGTGGGGTCCATTGTTGTTTTGGATCCTATTGGCTTTCATTACATGGACAAACATGTTGAAACACTCTTCAGAAAATCTTCTTTTGTGTTCCTCAGAAGAAAGAAAGTCAGTTTTGGAACGACGTGAGGGTTAGTAAATGGTTTATTTTCATTTGTGGTTGAACTATCCCTTTAAATACTAAAGAACTCTTCCTGAACACACATTTCTCAGTGTTACAGTTGAATCTCTTACCTGCGACTCGCACAACTGCCCTCTCCGCGGGGTCCAGCACTGAGTCTTGGCTCTTGCGCTTGCGTCTCTCATGTTTGGATAGGTTCCATGGCAGAGTGTCCCCTTTGGGCCCGGCTGTGCTGTGGGCGCAGGGCGAGAGAGAGCCCCCGGACCTCTCGCTGCGGATCGAACGCTCGCTCACACACGAACGTTCACTCCGGCTCTCCTCGTCCGAGGAAGACATCTCGCCAGGGGGCTGGGAGGAGGGATATGAGGGGTGGCAGGGTAAAAAGGGAAACAGAAATAAGGTCAGGACAGAAACAGAAGCATGTTAGAGACTCTATAATGTGTGAGATATCTAATTCATTACCCACAGGGCAACGTACTACTACTATATACCAGAAAACATGAGTACCAAATAAGGTCGGATTTGTGAGAACACATCAGTTGAACACTTTGCAATAAAATGAAAGTAAAAGAGATGAAGGCAGATGCTTCTGGAGATCAGGTGAACAGCGCTGACTCACTTCAACAATGATGATGAGAAGAAAAAGTGGCAGGAGGATCGAACTCTCCTTTCAGTCAAGGTACTATTAAAACCGGTCCTGATCAGTATTGGACACTGCATTTGGCTGGGCCAGACCTCTCTGATGTGCATTCCTCTGTGATCAGCTGGAAGGAATGGGGCCCAAGGGGGCTAGAGTAGGTTCCTGTCCGTCACATTATTCCACACCAGCTGAACTCATCAATACAAGTGAGCTCAGTGCAAGCTGTTTGGAGATGTGCTTCCCTGTCCAATCTACTCACGTCATTCATGAAAGGCTTGCTAGAGGAGCTATGGCTACTCTTAGATAGTATTTATTTTTTAATGTTAATATTTTTTACTATTAATTGAGTATATTTTATATATGTGTGTGTGTGTGTGTGTGTGTGTGTAAAAATATATACAATTGCAACTGTATTTAGATATTGCCATTGATTCAAATTATTTTATTATTCGCAAAAATTCTTCTTTAGCATCTAAATTAATAACAAAAAAGGGTGTCCAAGATTATGTAAAAATATATCTTTATTTTTTACAAATTTAGTGTAAAATGCACATCAAATTCTTGTAAATGTTAGCTCTGTATTTGTGTTGGTCTCATATGGATTTTAAAAGCTTTTATACCATTTTCAAGAAATGCTTTGATTTAATAACTCTAGACTGTGGTCACACATATTTATTTTTTCCTAGGGGATGTTTTGGGTGTAACCATAAATATTTTACACGATTTTTCGTGAATTTTTTATATTTAACCACAACAATGGAAAAAACACTTTTATCAAATATTACTATCTTTTATTTCCTTAAAAAATAGCAAAATAACAAATATATTTGATATTTTTTCATGTAGTAATTTTATATTCATATATAATAAATAAGCCTACAATAAAACATGATAAATTCTAGTAAAGGTGGTCATGAGTAGTTTAAAAAGATTTTAATATACAGTATGTTAGTGCTGGTGCAAGATTGTTTTCTCCTCTTTTCATCAGTCTCTTTAGTTTATGTGCTTTTTTAGATAATGTTTGACTTTCTCCATAGCATTTTAAAGTGGCAATTTCTCAATAGAATTCAAATAGATCACAAGAAATGCTTTGATTTAATAACTCTAGACTGTGGTGGAACCAGGGTCGTTGTCGGGGGGACAATTGGGAATGTTGTCCCAGGCCGTGTGATGAGTGGGTTTTCTATGGTATAGCCTACGAATTAAGCAGGGGGGGGTTCACACATATTTATTTTTTCCTAGGGGATGTTTTGGGTGTAACCATAAATATTTTACACGATTTTTCGTGAATTTTTTATATTTAACCACAACAATGGAAAAAACACTTTTATCAAATATTACTATCTTTTATTTCCTTAAAAAATAGCAAAATAACAAATATATTTGATATTTTTTCATGTAGTAATTTTATATTCATATATAATAAATAAGCCTACAATAAAACATGATAAATTCTAGTAAAGGTGGTCATGAGTAGTTTAAAAAGATTTTAATATACAGTATGTTAGTGCTGGTGCAAGATTGTTTTCTCCTCTTTTCATCAGTCTCTTTAGTTTATGTGCTTTTTTAGATAATGTTTGACTTTCTCCATAGCATTTTAAAGTGGCAATTTCTCAATAGAATTCAAATAGATAACACATTTTACCATCAGCTTCGGCATAGGGACGGCTCGCGCAAATCTTATCACACTATCACAGACAACTGTTGAATGCAATGTGAGTTGCCTTGGATAAAAGTGTCATGTCAAATGCATAAATGTAACATTGTTCTATATGATGTGGCCAGGTCTGTCCTGGAAACAATTTCTATATATCAGAAAGTGTACATTCCATGCATTTAACCAGATATGTTGAGCTCTGTCTTTACTGCTTCTCGAAAGCAGGACTAAGTTGACTAAAACCATGTTGCTGAAGCTAGCTCTCTTTGCCATCCCACTGTTGCCTGACAGCATGGTGGTTCAGTGGCAGCCAACAGATATAAATAGAGGCAATGCTGTATTCAAAACCTTGCTATGTCATTATGCCTGCGAAGGAAAAGGGAGGAAACTACTGCTCTCTTTTACATTATTTCATCTCTCATTTCTTTCCTACCACCACACTGAGTAAGTTCATGGCAGCTGAATGCACCCAGTGCTCCAATAGACAGCTGTTGTGTTGATTTAAAGTCTCTGTGCAACTGGGTCTGCACTCTGCATTTGTACAGAGTCTGGCTTCCCAGAACGTTCGCCAAGCATGTCCCAGAACAGCCTTAGTTTTGTAGCACCGCTCCATTTCCCTTCGAGAGAAATGATACGTTTGTGGAACAGAGGCTGGTGGCATTTGTTCTCTTGCTGTGTTTATATATTGTGTGCAAAGATATGTTCGTGTGCATTCACCCATGAGGACAGAAGCATCTGCTATGAGTAACACTGACACATCACTATAGACACACTCACTCAATAATAACACTTGCTTATCATAGCAATAAATAATGGCTTTGTATTATTCAGAACACTGTGGGCATTTAGGTATTAGTTCTTATGGAAAATGTGACATTTAATCTGGGCATAATATCATGTGGCCAAGAATTCTGCATGTTTAGAGCAGTTTGTGCCTTTATACTGTATATTAGGGGCTCTAAATTGGTTTTGCTTCAGGGCCCATATTTTACATTGGACATCAAGTATGGACCAACAAAAAATCCTTAAAGGGATAGTTCACCCAAAGTTGTTCCAAACCTGTATGAGTTTCTTTCTTCTGTTTAACATAAAAGAAGATATTTTGAAGAATGTTGTTGCGTTAGCTATCTTTAATAACGAGCCAGAAACCAACGTAATGTTCACTTGATATTCCTCTGGCTGCTTATCCAACCCTGATGCGATTCTGTAGCGCTCAAAACGCTTCATCCATCTAGGCCATTCATTTGTATTGGAAAAGTCAAACTTGCCAGGCGGAGCTAGCTGCGCGGCTAACATCGGTGGGGCTGGCGTTTCTCTCTCCATCTTCCCCCCGCTTTCAGCCGTATCTTCCTTTAATGGGTTCTTTGCAGGTTTAATACCTTGAAACCTGTCTACTATTCTGACACCATGTTGCGTTAGCTATCTTTAATAACGAGCCAGAAACCAACGTAATGTTCACTTGATATTCCTCTGGCTGCTTATCCAACCCTGATGCGATTCTGTAGCGCTCAAAACGCTTCATCCATCTAGGCCATTCATTTGTATTGGAAAAGTCAAACTTGCCAGGCGGAGCTAGCTGCGCGGCTAACATCGGTGGGGCTGGCGTTTCTCTCTCCATCTTCCCCCCGCTTTCAGCCGTATCTTCCTTTAATGGGTTCTTTGCAGGTTTAATACCTTGAAACCTGTCTACTATTCTGACACCATGTTGCGTTATTGAGAAAGTGTTCCAGATAATGTAATCTGTTGCAGAAGGTTTAAAGTTTTTGCAAAGATGTATTGGGACTTCATGTTAAGAGAAAAGGGCATCTTACTTAAAAGGGGGAGGTGTTGTATAAAGGGAACCTTCTGTGTAATGTTGATGCTGTACGGGGCTAAAAGGGGGACACTGGGGTATGACGTGAGTTCCTGAGTAAAGTTCTGAACGTGAACATTACGTTGGTTTCTGGCTCGTTATTAAAGATAGCTAACGCAACAAATGTTGGTAACCAAACATTTGCCACTGACTTCCACAAGTCAATGGCGACAGTCAACTGTTGATGACAGAATTTTCATTTTTGGGTGAACTATCCCTTTAAAACCTTTTGCTGTGCTGAAAAACCTTTACCTAATTTGCTGTCCCCAGTCAAAAATGACCAGCCTTTTTAAAACTGCTTGTAAATCTCTCATTATGCTAAATTATCACAAAATCTTGGATTCAATCTTTTTGTCAGCTTGTTTTCTTTCAGCACAGGTTTTATATTTCTTTTTGAAACAGATAGGTCGAAGGCCTCATTGATCTGAACTTATGCACCTTATTTATTTATTTATTTATTTTTAGTAAAAAAAATATATATATAATTATTTGTTATTTTTGTAGTAATGATAATTTTGGCAATATTCACTCAAAAACTGAGGTGCATAAGTTCAGATTAATAATGCCTATGATCAATCAGTTCCAAAAAGAAATACAAAAACCTGTGTTTGACAAAACAAGTTGATAAAAAGATCAAATCCGATATTTGGTTGTAATATAGCATAAAAAATGTAGTCTAATGCAGAGGTTGTATTATTTTTATCCTATGGTTAAGCTGCATTATGTTACTTTCATTTAGTTTTGTTTTCGCCCGCTATCCACAGAAAAGACCTGTGGCCCATTTTTTTGGGTCGCAACCCACCAGTTGAAAACCACTGATCTATTTTTTTTCAACAAATCTGACCTGGAAACATGCCATGCACCAGAGACAGATTCAATACATGTAAAGTGCTAAAATAGACAATCCTGCTTGCAAGGATAGTAGCATTTTTTGATTACTGGATACAATGTTTGATCGGATCTAATTAGTGCAACAGTCTGTTAAAGAAATCACAAGACATGCCGCAATCACAGACACTATTTGTCCTATTTTTGAGGTTTTGCATGTTAGCCAAAGGGCAGTAGCTACAATAAGCCCCATTTGATCAGATCAAGGATGGATTACGTACCAGGCCAATGGAGCCAGTGCCTGAGGCCTCTAACTGTCAGGAACCTCGAAATGTAAAACTCACACACTGACAATGAAGAAATTAGCGATATTACCAGTACCTCTGAACACATGCAGCTTTAATGTTGTAATTGCAACTTTCTATCTTGCAATTGTGACTTTGTTTTTAATATCTGTTATGTAATTTATTATTATTATATGGTAATGTCGCAAAAACTGCAAGAGGCTAGTGCCCCAAACCTTGCAGGACCATAATTTTTAAAATGAGATTTGATAACTTCAAAGTATCTAAATGTATCTTTTGGAATGTCAGAAACTGAAATGAGCAGAAATGGTTACACTCACACAGCAGGCAAACATGATGTATGTGCATCTCTACAGGAGCACAGGGCAGGAAACCATCTGTGGATGCTGGTAGAAATAGCCTTTACCCACTCAACCTTCTGTACTTTTACATTTTAGCCCAGGAATGGTTGTGATTGTGTAAACACACTGAGCACGAGCTTTTTTTTCGTCTCCGGAAGACATGAATGAATATCCACCATTTCTGAACGGAAAGACTTTTGCGTAGATCCATAAATATTTGCTTTGGAAACGCCCCTTCTTTCAACACATACCACTACTACTGCAAAGTGATGGAAAATCCGACTCATTTCGCGGATCGGTTCTTTCGAACAGTTCATTCCAGTGAATCGAATTCAGCTGTGCTTTACGACATGACGTAATTATAGTTCAGTTTTGTATATTTAGCTCACAAACTGCTGATTTGCATCTAAAGAAAATATCTGCATGTACAATACTAAAGTTATTATACTAACCACCATAGCTTACATTTAACATTTTGTACGTTTTCATAAAATGCGATCCGGTTGTGTGGACCGGCTCAACAGAACCACTGAAAAGATCCGATTCCAAAAAACGATTCGTTCACACATCAGACATCGCTGGGTCGTAATGTGGCGTTAACCGAGGAGAGTGACCACAGAGATGTGCAGAGCCTCTTTGTCCAAACACACTGAATAACGGGCTGTCTATAAAGACCCATTCATGCAGGCGTCAGATGAATAAATCATTACCTTTATTTCTAATTAATTAACGTGAGAAATTAACACCTCGGCTCGCTCCCTGTAGAGAGGAGCACTTCCGATGCCCGATTATAAATGGAAATGAGGATGCTTGTAGGAAATCTAGGGTTTTTTGCATGATACTTAAGCGTTTAGTATTCAAACGTTAACATTATAACACAAACTAAAAGCTAAGAAAATGGTGACACATATGTATAAAAAAACGATAATTATCAGACACATAGCTACACCCCGAAGCTGTCGGATGACGGACATTTGGACCTTCTTACCGTATAACGGCAGTGCCCGTTACCGCACGCAGGGTGACAGAGGCGGGGATGCGCCGGCTCTCAATCCTGACAAACACGCCTCTCAGCCGGCCACAGAAACACTGACTCTCGGTCCGTTTTTTGCACCGACCCGGTAGACAGAGGAGCAGTATGGAGACTGTGATTCGGTAATGGCTGTCTATTCCCCTCCTTTCATATCCCTCCTTCTCTCCCGCTCTCTCTTTCTCCGGCCCCCTCCTCCTCCTCTTCCTCACTCTCTCCTTTCTCATCCACCCTTAAGCCCAACCCTCTTTAACGATGATCTTTTTAATAATGCTTCATTATGAGCATTACATAAAAATCACACAAGACTAATCAAATTCAATCAAAATTCCTATCGGTTAAATCTAATAGCCTAATCTTATTTCAATCTGAAATTCATTATAAGGGTTGCTTTGCATCTAAATCTAAATTCTTGTTAATACAACATTAGGATGCACAAACTTTAATATGACAAAAGTTGCATTTATGCCATCACTGTTGAAAAAGAAGCATCTTAAACCAGTGATGGTTAGATGGTTTGCTGCTTTCCCAGTCTGGACTCTTGACTGGTTTTCGAGGGGGGTTTTTCACACCGGGAGAGCAACCAGACCAGCTGAAGAACAGCTTGATCAGGTTGCGAGACCATCTTAAACCAGACCAGCAAACCAATTAAGACTATCAACAGGGATCCTCTGTGATAAATGTGGCCATATACACTAACACTTCCAAGATTTCCCCCTTCAAACACACTAATTGCCCATAAAAATAATAAAAGTATAATTCCATAATGAATGTGTAGTGAAGAATCTGTCTGTCCTCAGTGAGCTGCAGTGGAATTCAGTGTGACAGTGAAGGATTAACTGCTGCTGGTGGACTGATCAAACAAAACCCATCACAGAAGAGCAGCCCCGCTTTAAATGCCAGTGGACATTCTTTCCCAAATTTGAACTCTAGTAAGATTATTATCACGTGAAGACAACAATATCTAAAATGACCAGATCTTACAGTGACGTCAATTTGTATAGAGCCAGCTTTGAACCTTAAACAGGCTAAACTGAACCCATGTGATGGTCTGCACGTCTTCATTCCACTTGTGCACTCGACTTTACATTTGAACTTTGCTCAGACAGAGCTGTTCTAGCATCACAACAGAAATATCTAGCAGTTTATGAACCATATTCATCCAATTATTCAAGCAGTTTATGAACCATATTCATCCAATTATTCAAGCAGTTTATGAACCATACTCATCCATTTATTGCTTAGATTTTGCAAAAATGTTTCTAGTGTGATGCCTCATTTATAAGTTTTAAGTCAACAATTCAAGTTAATTCAAGCTCAAAAATAGTGGTTTGTTACTGCCACCCACTGACCAACATACTAAATAACTAATCTTGTCTTGGTAATGTGATTGGGATGTCAAATGGATTGATGTATTCATATTAAGCTTTCCCATGGGAAGCTTAACCAAACCACTTAAAGACAGTTGCATTCAGTTAAGGCTCAAAACCAGACTGAATATACTGTATCAAACATTACGAATAATCAGATGGTCTCAGGCAAACTGAAGGATGAATTCAAGCTTAAATGAAGTGTATTTAAAGTCTTCAAACAGATGTAACATACCAGTGGTTCTCAAACAGGGGGCCTCAGCAAACTTATATAGGGGCTGCAGAACAACTTAAAAGTATTTAAATTACTAATATATATATATATAGTTATTTATATAATTAAAAATACATAAATATGTATTAAAATAACAAACTACAGTGGTGTGAAAAAGTGTTGGCCCCCTTCCTGATTTCTTATTTTTTCGCATGTTTGTCACATTTTAATGTTTCAGATCATCAAACAAATGTAAATATTAGTCAAAGATAACACAAGTAAACACAACATGCAGTTTTAAATGAAGGTTTTTATTATTAAGGGAAAACAATAAAATAAATTTTTTAAAAACACATAAAATCAAGATGTAAATTAATCGTATTTCTCTTTTTCCCCCTAAAAAAATAAAGTTCTTACTGAAGAACACACTGTTCTTAACATTTCTGGAATCACAAAAAAAAAAAAAAATTATGGTTAATTTAATATATCAATATTCCCATTTTAATAATAACTTTTTGGAGAAGCACACAGTCATGTCACAAGAAGAAAGAGAAGTTGTTTAAAAGAACTATGAATATCTAAAACTGAATTATTTTTAACTTATTCAATTATGGAATTATTTAATGGAGTAGAAACATTACCAGTGACATTTTTGAAGAATGTTTTGGTGACCATTGACTTCCCTTGCATGAAAAAATAAATAAATAAATACTTAAAGTATCTTCTTTTATGTTCCACAGAAAAAAGTAAGTCCTGAATGACATGAGGGTGCCCAGTAGCCCCTCACTGCAGAACAAAGATCCAGGGGGCGGGGTTGGATCCACATCTAGGGGGTGGAGATGGTAGGTTTAGGGGTGGAGATGGGTGGGTTTAGGGATCAGGGGGTGGAGACGGGTAGGTTTAGGTATATGTAAGGTGCCCCCTGGATCTTGTGTTCTGCAGTGAGGACCATCTCCGAGGGTGAGTAAATGATGACAGAGGGACATAATGAACTGTCCCTTTAAAACTTGTATTACATATTTACACTAAAAAATAACAGACAGTGTGCAGACAATAACAATTACATGGAATCATTCTATTTATTTCTCGGACATTAAACAATGTTGATACAGCAATATTATTATAATACATAAGTGAGGAAGCAACTGTCCAACAGTATGACTGTGCTGAGAGTGATTGTATGGGGATGCTGGGTTCAGGGCCGAGCCTCCTCATTGCCTGTGTGTTGTGGAGGGGGTGTGTAAGTTCCCTCTTTAATCATCTTCTCCTTCTGCTTACGGACCTCATATAAGCGCTGTTGCTGTAACGAGTGATAATAATGTTAGTAATGTGAAGAATCTCAAATACATTGTTTGAATATTTCCGAATGTTCTTACAGTCTTTCGGCGGTGCATGCACTCGTAGAAGTCTTCCAGCTCCAGTTTGCATTCCCTTTTGGCCCGGGTCTGGCCGATGCCGTGGGCGCACTCTATCCACTCCTTCTCAAAGGCATGGCAGCGAGCGACCCGCTTCTGTGGCTGTTCCCCGCTCTGAGCCAAGAGCCACTGGTCCAGATTAATCCCCAGCCTTGACTGGAGGTCAATGAACGGCATGATTCTTGGAACTGAAGAGAAATATTTCATGTAAAACAAATGCAATAATGCAATCAAGCTTAAGAACACTGAACAAAGCAGTTATTCATTTTTATATAAATTATGCCTCAAGGTTTAGAAATTGCTAGCACTTTAAATATAGCAAATAAAGCAAAGTGGTCATATGCAACTACTGAATATCTCCAAAACTTAAGGCCGGGACACACCAAGCCGACGGTCGGGCTAGTTTGTTGGTGTGTCCCACTCGTCGGCTCTCGTCGGGCTCACGTCGGCAGCAGTTTGCCCGATTCATCGGGGCCGTCGGTGCGAGTGAGATCTCTGATTGGATGTTCAGTTTAGCGAACGAGTCAATGCCCGAGAATTAAAGCGAAAGTGATGAAAACAAGCAGGTAAATGAAGGCGGTACAGACAGAAGGCTGTTTAAATGTTACGTGATCTTTCCCAATCATTCTAATACGCGAATGTTTTCATAACAACATGAGCCACTTAAAATGATTGAAGTTATCAACGTTACCGATATTCAAAATGGTAAGCAAGCGCTGCTTTGTTTACGTTTCGTATGACAACGCCGTCGGCTTTCGTCGCCGCTAGTTCTTTGACGTCGGCTTGGTGTGCCTTTACAAACAAATTACACACACGAACAGAATACTTCTGTTTCCCAACCACTAGAATAAGGAAATAACTAACCATAACTTTTACTGTACATGCAAAAACGTGATTTTTTTTCTGTCAGTGTAACTTTTTTCCTGAGTATGTGAGTGAAGTGACATGTAGACAAGTATGGTGTCCCAAGTATGGTGTTTTCTGAGAAATTGATGAGAAAATTAATTGAGTTTATGATTAAAACAAGAACAAACATTTGCCAATAGGCTCAGAAAAATGTAAAGAGAAACGTGTTCACACCTGCTGACAGATAGGCCTATGTGTTTTTGTCTTAAGTATAAACTCTACTTTAACTATAAAGTATAAAACTAATTTTGTTCAGTCTCTCAGAAAATAAAAAACAAATAAATAAGAATAAGAAAAAAAAAAAAATTACTATCTTTATTTTGCATCTCAAGTAAATATATCTCGATTTAAGGATGTTTAGAAAGTATGGTGTTTTCTGAGAAATTGATGAGAAAATTTATTGAGTTTATGATTAAAAGAACAAACATTTGCCAATAGGCTCAGAAAAATGTAAAGAGAAACGTTTTCACACCTGCTGACAGATAGGCCTATGTGTTTTTGTCTTAAGTATAAACTCTACTTTAAGTATAAAGTATAAAACTAATTTTGTTCAGTCTCTCAGAAAATAAAAAACAAATAAATAAGAATAAGAAAAAAAAAAAAATTACTATCTTTATTTTGCATCTCAAGTAAATATATCTCGATTTAAGGATGTTTAGACATTTGTATTGGAAAACAAGAAGTTTTTTGTTTTTGTTTTGTTTGTTTGTTTTTTGCAGTACATGGAACAGTTAGTGCCATAACTTAATTTTAGACTTTGGACTCCAATTTAAGACCTTTTTAAGGCCTTAATTAGTGGAAGGGCGAATTAAGAGCATTGTAAGACCAAGACAGAAATACAACAACGAGTTATTGTATCTGATTAGTAGAATATTCATTAGCGGGCGTTAAAAAAAAGCGATCTGTAAAGTTAGTTAAAACCACGTTTAACATTTGCAGGCTTGCTTATTTTACATTTTCATCGCAGAATAAAACAAGTTGTGCTGATAGTCGTAGTCCTGCAGAAGGCTAACTGGATAGCCTAACTGCAGCCCTGATAACAATTTAGCAGAATGCGTTTATTCTAACGTAATATATGTACAGCGAAAGGTTTATATTGAAGCTAGTAGATTTATTAATAGTACATGAAAGATACAAAAGTTCTCAAATTGTAAATACAAACACTGACCGTTCGGTTCAGAGTCACTTTAACCTTCCTCAGGCCCACAGTTCACGAATGACCTCTCAGTTGCCGTAAAGCAGGCTTGGTTTGCGCCACTGCTGCAAACATTGTGACGTCGATGTCGCGCACTCACGGTAGGGGGCAGTGTTGGCACATTTTTGGATTTTGAACTGAAGACAGAACCAGTGTTAATTTTGTAATATTTATATAATAAATATATTCATATGCTATTGTTGGGTTAGCTCTTAGATTTGTGTTTTTAGTTTTTTTTTTTTTTATTCCAGTTATTTTTTAGTTAGCCTATAGAAGTTTTAATAGTTTAATAAGTTTTAGTAGTTTGGTATGTGCTTTTCTCATCTTTATTCGTTGATTTATTGTAGATAGATGTTTTTAAAAGTTTTATTTTCAGTTAACAATAATAATTCTGCAATGAACCTTTAAAAAAAAGTTTGTTGTAAGTTTTTAACAATAACAATATACCTTAGGTGCATACAACTTTGACTTACAATATTTACAGATGAATTTAGCAATATATAGTATTTCTCATGAATGTTACAACCATTCTTTCAGCCTTTACTGAACTTGAGGGTCTTTTTATTGTTGTGTTTAGGATTTTAAGTTGGACCTATAATGTAATACCAGTGCAGTAATGTTAATGTAGTGTGTATATACAAGTGCATCTCAATAAATTAGAATGTCGTGGAAAAGTTCATTTATTTCAGTAATTCAACTCAAATTGTGAAACTCGTGTATTAAATAAATTCAATGCACACAGACTGAAGTAATTTAAGTCTTTGGTTCTTTTAATTGTGATGATTTTGGCTCACATTTAACAAAAACCCACCAACAAATTAGAATATGGTGACATGACAATCAGCTAATCAACTCAAAACACCTACAAAGGTTTCCTGAGCCTTCAAAATGGTCTCTCAGTTTGGTTCACTAGGCTACACAATCAGTTAACACTCATTTCACCATAACCAGTTTAAAGTTCAAATTATCAAGTAGTTTTCACAATCCGCTCATAAAACTGAAAATATAAAAGCATCTTCACACCAAAAAAAGCAAAAGATTGACAACCACAAGTCCTTTGATTACAAGACAAAGCTAATCCATCATTACATGTATAAACCGATGATTCTCTTTCTGCAGCCAAAGATAATTATGAGATTCAGAAAGCATAGCATGTTAAGAATGCAAAACAATTACACCCAAAATTAAATAACAAAATCATGACTACACCATTCAAATGTTTCCCAGAGAAGCTCTAAAAGAAAAAATGAAGTGCATAAATATAAGCCTACAATGTAGAACAATGATAAATAGTGGGATAAAGTGCAGGAGTGCTCATCCATCCAACCCAACTCTCTCTCCATCCATCTAGCTAGCGGGAAAATTAACATAAAAAAATGCAATTGCGCAAAACAAAAAGATTCAAAAACCATGTGCTTAAGAAAGAGATAAAACAGGCCAAAAATCATAATTAAATAATATTATTAACAACAGACATGCATGTGAATGGCAGTTCCATTTTTGATACTATATGATTTTAATACCTAGCAATAAAATCAACACTGGTAAACATCCACACATACGTCTCCGCTCAAGAGGGCACAAACAGTGTTGTCAGTGAGTCACAGACAGTGTAAGGGATCGGAGTGCATGTGCTCTGTCTGTAAGGCAGGCAGTCAGTGATTCAGGTGAAACTGTCTGCTAGTGAAGTTCGGATCAGTCTCCCATTGCACTGACCTTACTCTCACTCTGAAGTGTGTGTATTCTTCTGTGCAAACCGGGCCAGCGCGACCAAAACAATACTAGCATGCGAATGAGCATGCGGCGAATCATACAATTTCCAGGTCAATATTAAAAACGGGTAAAACAAACATACAAACAATACTGTAATGTGTCATCCATATACAATCCACTCGAAAGCCTCTCACATATACATGTGCTTGGCGACATTTCACATTATTTGTCTGTTTGTTTTCTAAGGAAATTCTTCTGGTCGCGATAGTACCGATTCAGCGCTTTTTTTGATCAAGGCATTTCCGCACTGAGAAGTAAACACCAACCAATGAATAACAGTATGAATTTCTGAAGAGGTAGAGGACCTGTCCGTGTCTGTAATAACCAGACGGGACAGTCGAGCAGAGCGATGAGTTCAGTTCCATGAGTTGTCTGGATGCCATTAAGGTGTTTTAATAATTACAAAAAGCAGCAAATGAACAGGTAAAGCGTCAAAAGCTCAGAAACGGTTGGCTTTGTGCAATGGCGAGAGTCTCTCTCACACGTACAGAATGACATTGTCGGGACAGTGCAGGCTGTCGGTGGGGTTCAAGGCTCTGCAGGTGGTCTGCGGCGGGGGAGCGGCGTGGCAGCTCTTGGGGTGGGGCGAGTCGCAGTCGTCGGACGTTAGCTCTGCGATGTCGTCCGACTGCGTGTCGGACATCTCTAGGTCGCTGCGGATGCTTTCCGGCTGAGCGAGGGTGACGTCTCGGAGACCCTCCCTGAGTGACATCCCAGGCGATAGGCCCAGAGGGGAATCCATGACAACCCTGCTCCTGTGGGAGCTGCAGTCCTGAGGCTCCTCCCCTGAGCCGGGAGCCATGGCAGCAGTGGGCGGAGCCAGATCCTCTTCAGTGGTTAGACACAGATGGCTTGGTTTCGTTTCAATGTCCACCTGGATCTCAAGGTTAGTGCCCTCTCTGAAACACAACAGATCAGAAAATGTGAGACAAAGCATCACTTCCAGGAGTTTTTAATCAAGGCTGCTGTAATTTTATATTTTGTTGTCTGGATGCACCTATATTAAAATTCTGGCCCATTCACATAAGCTAATAATTATTTTCATGTTACGGCCAAAACCATAAAATAACCATGTAAAATAACACTTTATTTTACAGTGTCCTTGTTACACGTTACATGTACTTACTATAGTAATAACCATAAATTATGCATAATTACATCAACTAACCCTAAACCAAACCCTAATCCTCACTCCTTTAATAAGTGTTAATTAATATTACTCAGTACTTCAATGCATAATTACACTGTAAAAAGGACACCTTAAAATAAAGTGTAACCTAATATTTTTGTCTAAATAAATCTAATAATTATATGTTCTAATATATGTCTAAATACAATAAAAATAAAACACTAAAAACAAAAACTAAAAAAAAAAAAAAAAGGATTTTCATTTTGAGATTTGCTAAATATATTTAACAGTGTGATTTTATTAGATGACAGCAAAGGTAATCTAAATGTAAAAATAAGAAAAATTAGAATGAATGATTAAATATCCGATACTGATGAATTATAAACTATTAAAAAAAACTCTAATGCCAGCACAGTAATTTTACATTTTAAAATATATTTAAAAAAGAGAAAATTGTTATTTAGAACTGTAATAATATTTCACAATATTACTGTTTTATGGATCAATTACATGGTGAGCATAAGAGACATTTTTCTAAAACATGATAAAATACTCGGTATTGAACAGTATTGTGTATTTATTCGTTAAGCAGTTGCTTTTATTCAAAGTGATTCACACACCTGTCAGGTAAGGTGTAAGAGGAAGTGATTGATCCTGCCATGCCCCTAGTGCTGGCACAGTCACTGGCCGCTCCCAAGCTGCCCGTCTCCCTTCCAGCACCTTCCTTTCCCAGCTCTGCCGCCTGCACCTCCAGCCTGAAACATAAACATGTTTCCATGAAAACAAGAACATTAGCTCTTGTGTATTTACCATACAGTACAGTGAATAACCCAGCATGCCCTGCTGCTGACATCCCACATGCCCTCATACCTGCTGTATTTTCCTGTCCTCGCACCAAGCGCTCCTCCTGCAAGTGTGTTGAAGTGGGGCGTGTCTCCCAGACCCCCTGGGGCGACGGACAAGCCCTCGCTGGGAGAGGTGGTGCTGAGGCCGCTGGCTCCTCCCTCCAAACTGCTCTCGCCCAGGCTGGGAGACTTCAGAGCTCGCCATGCATCAGCAACTACATTGATGGTTCAGTACAATAATCAGCACTGCCAAGTTTTTTTTCTGATGATACACTTGATCAATCATCTTTTTCTTTTTTTTTTACCTGTAATAGGCCCGTCATCCTCATCAAAGTCTATCCTAACACCTCGCCCTTTCCCCCGGCTCACCCCGCAGCCCCCGCCGCGGCACAGAGAGATAGGCACAACACCATACACATATGCCAACATGATGGGGACGCCAATGCCTGCAGGGAAGAGAGAGAGATTTGGAGCTATAGTCAATCTCTGGGTTTGAAAACGAAGTTAAAAGGATAGTTAATGAGTAAATATGCTTGATTGGGATCTCAGGAAACATTTCTCATTATCATCAATGTTGGTAACAGTTGCACTTCCTAATATTTTTGTGGAAACCATGATACACTACCACAAAATTTGAAGTAAGAAAGATTTCTACTCCAAATAAATGCTGTTCTTTTGAACTTACTTTCATTTTTTTCAACACTGATAATAAGAACCGTTATTAATATTTGATCGCTATTAATGATTGATAATAATTGAGCATTATCAATCAATAAAATCATAAAACCAGCATATTGATTTCTGAAGGATCATAAACTTTTTTCACAATATTACATGTTTACTGTATTTCTGATTAAATAAATGTAGCCTTGGTGAGCATTGGAGAGATTTCTTTCAAACACATTACACAAATCTTAATTACTCCAAATGTATGACCAGCAGTTTAATAAACATAACATTTTAGTATATTAAAACATAACTTTACAGTAATAAAGTTCCATTAATGAGTTAAATACTTGTAGTGTATAGGTGGATCACATCAGTATTGCTGTGACACTTCCTCAAGATTTAATTTTGTGCTTCATTTTCTCACAATTTCCATACATTGTTCTGCACCGGAAGCTGCGGTTGCGGAGGCTAAATGCAGAAGCAATTGTCTACAGATTCCATTATAATGAACAGGAACTGAAGCTTAAGCTTCACAAAGGATGAGTGTCATAAAATCATATAAGTAGTCTGTACAGCATATATTCCATATTCTACAGCCATATGATAGCTTTGTGTGATAGACAGAAATTGACCACTGATTTGCTGTGACTGAATCACTGAGACAATGAGTTGAACTAGAAAGAAATCAGTCTGATTCATGAACATGGCTAGAATATTCTCTAAAATTCACCTTTTGTGTTAAACAGATGAGAGAAAGTCTAAAACAACATGATTAAGAAAAAAATCTGCAGCAAAAAATGTTTTCAAGTGATCTATGACCATTTTCTATATCATTCAATTGTAGTGGCACATCTAAAGTGTGGTCATATTAGCAAAATTTTGCAGACAAAAAAGGTCCATTGTCTACTGTTATTAGTGTACAGATATATGAAGCCCAGCTGACACAGAAGTCACTTTCAAACCAACCAGATTTCTCTTGGTCAGTGTGACCAACTTGAACTTTGCAAAATCTATGTGGGTAAATCTTTTGCCTTCAAGCAAAATTCCCAATCATGTGGATTCCAATTGAAATCACTGTTTTTTGCCTCTGAAACATTACCATCACCATCTTGTAAAGACGAATTGCTTTGCAGCATTCTTCATTTGTAAATCGCTTTGAATAAAAGCATCTGCTAAACGAATAAATGTAAATATGAATGTAAATTATTTCAGGAATACTCACCCACGCTGACCGCAGCGATGACTGGAGCCGTGATGATTGACAGAGCCACACCACCAGTGATAGCGAGATTCCTCCTGTGATGGGACGTTTTCTTGCCCTCGTAGTGCGAGTGGATCTGTGACAAACAGCAGCTGTGTTACTGCACGGTCACAAATGTGCCTTTATCTGCTAAAACCAAAGATCTGATCTACTGGCAACCTAAAGCTTCAAAATCTGAATGAATTCTTTGAAACAGAACAAAATGTCTTTTGTAGCACGGAAATAACGTTTAATGCCAACTACACCAGGAAGTCATTTTCTAGAATTATGGCAAAATCAAAAGCAATTAAGCTGGTTGAGCAACATGGCTGACTAGAGGGAAATTCCCACGCCTTTTAGGATATTCTGTTCCTGATTGCAGGTGATAAAGATTTCTGTATTAACTTCTAAACTGTAACGCTGTAGGGAATGTTGGCATTTCGCACCTTGCGTCCAATGTAAACAGGAATGCCGATAACCATAGCAGGAACTGCGATGCCAGCGATTAGAGTGATGCCCACCGGTGCACCAATCAAAGTGCCCAGCTGCCACAGAATCTTCTTCTTGCGACTCCATGGCTTCTTTCCCCAGAACGTACAACCTGATGGACTGAGAAGACAAAGAATATTATTATTTTTCGATTCGAGCAAGTCGTTTGAGAAATTCCCACTGATGGGTAGCAGAAGGTACCTGAGGTAGTGCAGGTCTGAAATCTCCTTCATACAGAGCCAGCAGAACTCACAGCCGCACACAGCACAGGTCATGTGATTACAGCTGCCGTCATTCATCTTGATGATGTAGGCACCGCATCGGGGGCAAGGCTTGATGTCATCAGCTGAGTGGGGATTAGAGGGTTGGGATTTAGAATTGCTGTAAACAATGTGTGCTGAGGAAGCGCTTTCTGAATGCCAGACAGGGAATAAGAGACGTTAGCAGACTCCTGCTGGAATTCAGGAGAGGAACTAGAGAGAACCCAGAGGAGGAGGAGGAGAGAGCGCAGTCCTTTAGGGAAAGAGAAACTTCAATAATCTGCAGTGAACACTGAAGTGCACAAAATTAAAGCGCTCAAGGGGGAAGCACACCGCAAATCAAATAATATGAGTGGCACTCTGAAACACAATAAACCAGACAGAAAGCACACTAGAGTTTTGAGTTTATTTTTATCCACTAATTCCGACGTGATAAACACTTTGCGATACGTACTTAACAGAGTAAACAGTGAAGGACTAATATACTACTGCCCGCAGCAAAACATAAACTAGAATTGTACATTTTCTGAATAAAAATGTGAATGCCGCTTGTATGTGCAAAACGTGATCCAGTGATTTGTTTTGTTGCTATGTGCTTGTGTGATCAGGGTGGTTTCTAGTGGGATCTAAGAGGTTTCTAGGGCATTGCTATGTTTTTGCTAAAGTGATTTGAGTGGTTTCTAGTTTACGTGTCAAAATGCCCATCTTTGCAAGTATACTCGTAAACACAGTAGATCGTAATTGAAAGCAAACAGCTGAGAAACTAAACTCATGTGTAACCGTATATTGGATCCGGGAAGCTCTTAAAGTGACAGCAGTCTAATATGCCTGCTGTCTGTCATTCCTGTTAATCAAACAACAAAAGAGAGAAAATCTCTCACGGCTCTCGACTAAATCAAGTTTGTAACTTTAATAAGAAGTAATATATATTTACTTTACAAAGTGAAAAATATGCAGTGTTTTTATACAATTGATTACTTTATACAATGCATGTAGCCTTTTTTATTTATTTGTTCTACTGTAGTTTTTTTGTAGTTCTACTGCTTGTAATTACGTTCTTATTCTTATTTAATCGCTGACAGTTTACTTGTCTTCAGTAAGCTTGAGTTTTTTTTTAGGCTAGTATTCTGTGATATTGACACTGGTGACAAGAATTATGAAATTTCTATAGTATCAAAAAATTTGATATCAAAAAGGCAATGAAATAATAATGAAATAAATCATTACCGTGAAATAAAATGACTCGTATCGTGATATAAGATTTTGGTCGTATCACCCACCCCTAGTTTCTAGGGCGTTGCTATGTGATTGACTCCTTGCCCAGGTACAAAGAGCCTAACCCCAAATGATATTACAGTCTCTCTCTGTTTATGGGACAGAATGGTTGGCTGCTGGTTAAACACTCACTGTGTCCCTGCTCGGCTGTGTAGCTGGGTGAATGGTTACTGTGCGTTCTCAAGGACAGCGCCCTCTGCTGGCGGGCCGAGTCACAGGTCTGGTTAGGATGCCAAACTTGCTTGCAGTGGTAACAGAACTCAGCACCACACCCTTCTCTTCGACACACCAGTCTGGGGCAGCTGGCACATCCAGAGGCAATGACTGCGAACCTGGCAGGAGAACAATGCAAACCAGGTCATCAGACTCTCCTAGAAAATCTATAATTAAGGTAATTTGAGATATCATTATACCTAGTTGTGTGCAATCTACTCTTACAGAAGTACATGGTACAGAGATGGTATCAGACGGTAATAGTATCGTACTCTGATATATGCCATGACACTATATGCCGATAACCATAGCAGGAACTGCGATGCCAGCGATTAGAGTGATGCCCACCGGCGCACCAATCAAAGTGCCCAGCTGCCACAGAATCTTCTTCTTGCGACTCCATGGCTTCTTTCCCCAGAACGTACAACCTGATGGACTGAGAAGACAAAGAATATTATTATTTTTCGATTCGAGCAAGTCGTTTGAGAAATTCCCACTGGGTAGCAGAAGGTACCTGAGGTAGTGCAGGTCTGAAATCTCCTTCATACAGAGCCAGCAGAACTCACAGCCGCACACAGCACAGGTCATGTGATTACAGCTGCCGTCATTCATCTTGATGATGTAGGCACCGCATCGGGGGCAAGGCTTGATGTCATCAGCTGAGTGGGGATTAGAGGGTTGGGATTTAGAATTTGTCCAGGCAGACAGTATCTGCTGTAAACAATGTGTGCTGAGGAAGTGCTTTCTGAATGCCAGACAGGGAATAAGAGACGTTAGCAGACTCCTGCTGGAATTCAGGAGAGGAACTAGAGAGAACCCAGAGGAGGAGGAGGAGAGAGCGCAGTCCTTTAGGTAAAGAGAAACTTCAATAATCTGCAGTGAACACTGAAGTGCACAAAACGAAAGTGCTCAAGGGGGAAGCACACAGCAAATCAAATTGTATGAGTGGCTGATGGCACTCTGAAACACAATAAACCAGAAAGCAAGCACACTAGAGTTTTGACAGTTTATTTTTATCCACTAATTTGTGATAGTCTTTTTCGAAGTGATAAACACTTTGCGATATGTACTTAACAGAGTAAACAGTCAAGCACTAAGACACTAAAGCCCCGCAGTACAACATGTACAAGATTTCTACATTTTCTGAATAAAAATGTGAATGGCGCTTGTATGTGCAAAACGTGATCCAGTGATCCGGGTGGTTTCTAAGGTCTTGCTGGGTGGTTGCTAGGGTGTTCTGGTTGGTTACCAGGGGGCATTGCTATGAAGTTACTAAGGTGTTCTGAGTGTTTTTGCTAGGTAGCTGCTAAGATGATCAGACTGTTTTTGGGGTGTTCTAAGGCAGTTGTTAAGGTGTTTCGGGTGGTTTCTAGTGCTGCTAGATGGTTGCTGTGGTGTTCTTGGTGGTCTTTAGGGTGTTACTAGGAGGTTGCTAGGATATTCTGTGTTGTTACCATGGATTTGTTATTTTTTTGTTGCTATGTGCTAGGGTGAGGGTGGTTTCTAGGGTGCTGCTAGGTGGTTACTAGGGGGATCCAAGAGTAGTGTTTTCTAGGGCATTGCTATGTTTTTGCTAGGGTGATCTGGGTGGTTTCTAGGACGTTGCTATGTGGTTGTCTCCTAGCCCAGGTATAAAGAGCCTAACCCCAAATGATATTACAGTCTCTGGATATGGCTTGAGTCTGTCCTTCACTGTATGTTTGTGAGACAGAAAATAGTGGTTGATTGGTAGTTAAATACTCACTATGTCCCTGCTCGGCCGTGTAGCTGGGTGAGTGGTTACTGTGCGTTCTCAAGGACAGCGCCCTCTGCTGGCGGGCAGAGTCACAGGTCTGGTTAGGATGCCAAACTTGCTTGCAATGGTAACAGAACTCAGCACCACACCCTTCTCTTCGACACACCAGCCTGGGGCAGCTGGCACATCCAGAGGCGATGACTGCGAACCTGGCAGGAGAACAATGCAAACCAGGTCATCAGACTCTCCTATAAAATCTATAATTTCGGTAATATAAGATATCATTATACCAAGTTGAGTGCAATCTACTCTTACAGAAGTACATGGTACAGAGACGGTATCAGACAGTAATAGTATGGTACTCTGATATATACCATGGTACTATATGATTACCATATTCACAAACAACGGTATTTCTATGGTACTTTAAAATGGCAGTGTCCAAAAATGGATTACTGTAAAATCATGATATTTTCTGTAAATGTGGCTGAGCAATACATGGACCATGTAAATATCTCAGACTTTTTAGATCTTGTTTTTTTAATTATACCATCTCCAAGGACATACTCATGATTATGCCCACAGATAACGTTTAATAAGATTGAAATTACAGAAATGGCCCCCAAAGTAATCATATACACAAGGATATCAGTGTGTTCCCTACTCAGATTCTTTGTAATGTCAAATTCCTTTTATAGTCAAGGAAAACATTAGCAGGTACAGACACTACTACATTATGGAAAATGAGGAGGATTTATTGCAGTATGTTCCTGCCGTGAGAGTTTCCAAGTATTCCAGTAGCACTTTATTCTTTTTCTAAGAAAATGACTTGGCTGCCAAATTCTACTTCAGACCTCAGAACAACTACACAGTAAGCACAATGATTATTAACAAACATATTTTTAAGTCTTTAAAAAAATCTTACCATTAAATCATTGAATATTTAAAATATTTTTTATGATTTTATGGCTGAATAAACACTGGCAGTAGATCAACTGGGTGGATGGGTTTCCCTCCGAAAAAAAATAAAACCTGACCCAACTTCCCTGTCTAACATTAGCTTATGCGTGACAAAAACAATCTTAATTTTAAGCGCATGTTATGACCTGTTGGCTGAATTTAAAGCAGGTTCTGAAGAAAACATTCCTCCTCCAGCCGACACCTCATTAATCAGCTCAGTTGCAATGGAGAAGTCTACCATCCTATACAAAGAGCTTCCAATTACCTGCACGTACTGGCACACACACACCCTACAAGTAGAGTCAAGCTGAAACTGACCTCATTATACATGATTATGGTCTACCAGAACACTCAGAGCTCACTAGGATTAAATACATTGAAATCAACACTCTAATTTGACGCTCACAAAGACACCGTGGCATGCACACACGGTCAAGTGAGTAGCCAATGATTGTCTTAATCAAATACCAGCCTCAGTTACCCATAGCAACTCTATCTCTGTGCCACATTTCAGTTGCCATGGCGACTTATCACTGAGGGAGAGAGAAACAAGCTGTTCCTTTTTCCCATTGGCAGCTCTGGACTTTCAATCAAGCTGAAGCAAAGCTGGTTGGGGGGTTGGGGGGTTGGGGGTGATGAGTAATAAGTAGCACCATGGACTGGAACTGATACAGTAAAATTAACTGGGAAACCTTTTCCGTCAGCAAAACAAGGGTTTGTTTCTGTGATTCTGAAATCAAAAGTGTTTTTATCGTCTAAGGTGGGAGATTCCTAGTTAGTCTACAAATAGGCAAATGAACCATCTGGGTGAACCTTAATGTATCCTACAGCAAAATAAGTGTCACACTTTCATTTAATAACCTCATGATGCAACTAAATAACCAGATAGCCAATTGTGTGATCTCTAATGGCCAAAATGGCCTTTTTTGAAAAATTCCCAGACCATCTGAAAACCCCTTATCACCAGGCGTGGGCCTGATAAGAAGTGGCAGTGACTCAAACATGCAGAGACGCAAACAGAATCATGTCTCTTAAATGTAGGTCACTGGCACATCATTATGACTGACAAACCTTGGACAGGTTGTAAAAGGCCTCTGAAGTAAATCACACTCTCTCAGAATGACACATCAGCTAAACTAGGCTTCCCACACAAATGCAAGTTTTCCTTATAACTGTCCAAATGCCTCCTACACTTGTAGAAGCACACAGAACAAACAGAAACTGTTAAATACGTCCTCTTACTTCTACTGAATCTGACAAAGATCTGAAATATATAGATAGAAGTGCATTTAATACACTATTTGGTCAAAAGTATGTGGACGCCCAAATACCACACCCTTGTTGAGATTTTAGTTTCAAAACCATTGGCTTTAATAAAGAGCTGGTCCTTTCCACACAGCTTCCATCCTCTTGGGAAGGTTTTCAAACAGATGTTGGAACATTGCTGGATTTGCTCTCATTCAGGCACGAGAGCATGTCGGGGCGAGAAACTAGAAATTTTAGGATGTCTACACACTAGCGAGTGTTTGACGGATATGAATGCGTAAGCTCCGTGTTGAGGGTGCGGGAAGAGCTGTGTTAGGCTGAAATCAAGAGGGAATACAGCAAATTGGTTTTCCGAAAGCTGGAGCCGACTGAAATTCTCATTGGTCGATGGACGCTTACGTCAGGGGCGATTCTAGGATTTCAGTCTTAAGGGGGGCACAGTCCAGACTCAAAACATGAGCTGATGTGGCTCAGTGGAGTGTCTCTTGCCTTCAGTGCCATGTCACAAGTTTGAAGAAATAAATTTTATTTTTAAATTACTTCTTTACTATTTAAATGATTTTTCAAGTGTAAAATTGGCAATGCAGCAATATATATATATTTTTTTTTTCTGAAGTACTGAAACTAAAATTATATATATAGATTTTTTTTTTTTACTGAAATACTGAAACTAAAATTCAAGTGTTCATTTAGCCACAAACTGTTTGGAACAAAAGGTGTCGTGTTCTCAGGGGATACATTAAACCAGTTGTAGTAAAGTTCTTCAGCAATGAGCCACCTCTCAATATTTCAGCTGAACAGCTTTCATATATTTCTTCTCTAACATCATTTTTTTTGTCACGATGAAGTGTGTCCACACTGCTTACACTGCTGTAGCACATCCACATTGTGTGCATGAAACAGACACTAAAACACAAAACACATCATCGGAGAAACGCTAATTAAACAGTTTCTGTCAATGATTTTGGCCCTCCAAAACTGTTTTGGCCATGTACATGAATTTTTTTGCAGTTTCGGCCTAATATTTTGGGTTGCTGAATTTTTTATTCATCACTACTTAAAATACCATCTGAATATCAGTAGATGCTTATGAATTTCAGTAGCAGATTAGATTGCCTTTCATTTTGTGATTTCACTGGAACCAAAAGCACTGAAATGAGAGAAATGGAGTGTGACAGCTTTATGCAAGGCAGCACTTCATGCCAAACGTTGCCGCCCTATGTCGCCTATGACCATGTCCACCACTGACTACAGGGCAGGATAACATTTAAATGTTAAAAGTAAAGGGAAGATTCATAGTGAGGTCACCTCAGCACAATAGGTCAGCAGTCATATCTAATATTATGTGGCAGAGAAAATAGGAAATGAGACTGTTGTGATATGAGGGGATGTTAATCTGTCTACATTTACAGACCTCTTTCTGCAATGCAATGTAATAAACAGCCACTTTGAATATGATCAACGTCCTTTAATCGCTGGTTTGTTTTAAAAAAAAAATATAATCTCAGATTTGTCCCCTGCCTCCTTGCTATATGTCCCTACCAACTTTCAAATCAAACCTACACCTTTAGATTCAATTCATCCCAAAGATCTCCACTGGGGTTCAGATGTGGGCTTTAGGCTAGTCAAGTTCTTCCACATCATTTACTCAGTAAATCATTTGTATAATGACCTCACTATGTGCACAGGGGTATATAATACTGGAACAGAAGTGTCCCTCCCAAAACTGTTGCCACATCCCACAATTCCCTAGAACGTCATTGTATGTTGTAGCTCGATACATCTTCACACTGGAATTTAAGAGTCTTGCAAACACATTAATTAGAAGGTCCACAACATTTTGGCCATATATCTCCTATTCAAAACATTTTACAATTCCCTAACATCCTAAGCAGTCTTACCCACAGTCTGGAGCTGGACACCATCTGCAATCAGGGTCTGATGCCAGGCAGCGGCGCAGCAGGAACTCTTCATACTTCTCCATCAGGCTGGGATCATCCAGGATGAGGGCCACCTGCCTTGGGGCAAGTCGTTCGGCGCACTCCGGACAGCTGAGCTGCACTCGGCTCTCCGTGATCTCGATACGCAAGTACTGCCTTAGACAGCACAGGCAAGACCGGTGGCTGCATCCCAGGAGCTCAGGAAGCTGCTCTGCAGGTTGCCGCACCAGGCACAGGGGACACTCTAGGAGTTCTTGACCTCCCAGAGAGGCCTGGCTAGCGGACAAAGGTTCAGCTGGGTCTGCCGTAGAAGGGTCTGATGAAACATTGGTAGGTGTGGGGGGCTGGAGAAGCTGCTGTTGCTGGAGTTGTTGCTGTTGGTGCAGCTGTTGCGCAAGAGGAGTTCCCACATTAGCCTTGTTCCCCCTGGATCCACGTTTGCTATGGAAGAGACTATGAAAAGAGATCCTTCCTTGCTTCTTGCCCGGCCCACGGCATTTCGGATTGGGAATGCCGCTAACAGAGGAGTGGGGTGATTCAGAGTCCTTTTCAGATCCCATTTCCCAAGAACAATCTTGTAATGTTCTACTTGAGTCCTTACGAGAGGTCAGCGAGTTAGAGGAGTTTGTGTGAAGCGTCTCAGTTCCTTCCACGGAATGATTTCAACAAAGCTCCAAACCTCAAGGACACGGACACTCCCGATACACAAAAGAATGTTTGTCAAGGTCTCAACAAATTCCAGTTAGTTTTCCCGTTGGGAAAATTCCATTTATGAAGTAATTTCTTCTTCTTAACTCTAACAAGGATTCGTGTTTAAGCAATAAACGGAAAGATAACTAGACTAATTGAGCCAAAAGGGATAAGGATGGGGAAAAAAGTCCTTTCACTCCAACAATCTTCTCGTAAATAGAAAAAGAAAAGAAACCAGGAAACAAAAGCAAATTGTTGCACCCCAAATACGTTAAGAACTACAAAACTGACAGATGCTGTCAATTAAATACAGGGTGTTTAAAGACCACTAGGAAGTTCAAGTTATTAGTAAAAAATTAATCTGGCTCAAGATATCGTAATCCTTTCCGAGGACTCGTCCTCTGTTGCCTCCGCTAAATTCTCTTGCTTGCGGAGCTGAGATGCATGTGCTCCAGTTTGCAGTTCTCGTCTTCTGAATCAGCCGGTCTGTTAAGGAAGAGAAATAGCACAGGAAGTTAGCACAGCGCACAGACAGCCTGCAGGAGGAGCATGCTCAGTACACGCTCACGTACACACACACTCCTCCCTTCTTTTATTCTCAATCTCTTCATTTCACAGTTAACTCTTCATTGCACTGGACTCATGAAGTGACTGCCTGACATAAACCACTTACCAGCCATTTAAAAACGAGAAGTAATTGATTCTGTGACTTTAACCTGTTAAAAATTTTCTGTCCTTCCATTTTGTGTTAGGTTTTACTTCTCTCATTTTCTTTGTGTCTCACTGTTGATGACACCCTCTCATCCTCACACACTCAAGCACTCCCTCTCCACTTCACACGGCGCTGCTAGTGCAGTTGCCATGGTGATTCCCACTATGAACACAGCAAACAAGGACCCTCACAGTGACTCTGGCCCTTATGAACACATATACACACCCGGCAGATATTAACACCATACATCATATAACGCATGAGTGCAAGCTTCCACCGGACTTTATTCATTTATTTATATGTGAGAGGGACATCAATACGGTACGCAAATGCCATACTGAAGCAGAAGAAATGGTTCTGTAGGCCAACATAATCTGTCAATCTCTCAGACACATATTCCTACTCAAAAAAACAAAACAAACATATACTACAGCTACACAAACTCATCTAAGACTGATGTATTCTGGTTTTCTGCTCTGATGACCCCTGGACTAATGCCTGCGTAGCACAAATCGGTTTACTTGTGTGAGGGGGAAGGGGAAGAGACCACCATGCTAGTGTAATTTAATAGACAAATAAACAACATGATGTCTATACCATAGACCCCTAAGGTGCATCGTAATTACTGTCTGTAATTACTAGACGACAACTCTGTGTTCACGTCCTCAGACTCGGAATTATGTATTTCCACGGGCAACACTATAAACGAATTAATCAGTGTAATTTGAGCATCAATAGAAAAAACACAAGTCACAGTAACAATTATGTACATGCCTCATTGATAAACTAAAGTTTATTTAGCTTATTTAGCAGGACATTAGTTATCCAACTCTGTGCTAGTTATACATTACATTTGTGTATGTTATTTTGTATCTATACTGAATGGCTTTCATTTATTTTTAGAATAATCTTGCATTACTAAATCAGAAATATAACGATAATCTACTTCACTACATTTGAAGCCACAGCCATCTTGAGTGTTTCCATGTGATGTTGTAGTGTCAGGTGGATCAAGTTGGAGCTTTCAGAAAATTCAGTACAAGTTGTAATTAAGTTCTACGAAGAGTCAGAATCTTGTAATTATGATAATCATGAATGCGCCTATAATAATGAACAATGATAATATTAACGTATTCATATGCGATGGTGTTTATGATAGGGTATTCAAAAACAACAACAATGTATTACTATGATCTAGTATGCCCTTACACAGTATTACCATGTTAAAAAACATTATGGCTGCATTTTTTCTAGTTTGCACTGTATTTGACCAAGAGAGTCACAGCATAAAGCATAGTAAACTAAAGCTTTTTCTGCTGGCGTTCATGGATCTACAAGCTATGCAGTGACAGCAGTCAGTATGACCCACTTTTCCACAGAGTACTTACACATTGCTCTTAGCCACTGTGTCCTGATGTCTTGACCCATTATGACAGGAGGGTGCAACAATTATTAAGCACTATGTGCTCTATACTGTACGTGACTGAGAGGCACACATAGTAGATGCATTAAAAATGCAAGAGTCTAGCCGACGGAAACAGGAAAATTCCATACGATCTCGACAGATCTGCTATGCCCTTACACAGTATTACCATGTTAAAAAACATTAAGGCTGCATTAAAAACTTTTTCTAGTTTGCACTGTATTTGACCAAGAGAGTCACAGCATAAAGCATAGTAAACTAAAGCTTTTTCTGCTGGCGTTCATGGATCTACAAGCTATGCAGTGACAGCAGTCAGTATGACCCACTTTTCCACAGAGTACTTACACATTGCTCTTAGCCACTGTGTCCTGATGTCTTGACCCATTATGACAGGAGGGTGCAACAATTATTAAGCACTATGTGCTCTATACTGTACGTGACTGAGAGGCACACATAGTAGATGCATTAAAAATGCAAGAGTCTAGCCGACGGAAACAGGAAAATTCCATACGATCTCGACAGATCTGCCTATTCTACAGAGGCAGATTGAAAAGGTGGTGTTGAATCATTGCAGGTTAAATGAAAGAGTCTCCCGTCTATATATATAACTTAGGGCTGAGATGGTAATAGCCCTCCATTCCACTTCAGCAGCCTCTGCTAATGCAACCGATGACACATAATTACCATCTGTGCTCTCTGAGGTTTAGTGTGTGTGAGGGATGCTAGATCCACAACAAAAGCTGTTTCTGGAAAATCTGTGTCACATCTCGGCACCAGAGTGCAAGTTTACAAAGCAGAACCCACTGTGTGTGTGTGTGTAATGGGCGTGGCTGCGTTTGTTGTACAACAGAAGTTGCTCCATTATTTATCAGCTGTGAATGAGGTGTCAATTCACAAGAAGCTGTTTTCTGCTTACACTGCTGCAGCTGGAAATTAGCAGCCTGCTTTTTCCATTTAGGAACGAGTTTATTTAAAACCTTTGAAAACAGTTGGAACAATCCACAGCATAAGCTCCCAGGCCTTGTTTGATGAAGGATGGAACTCTGTTATCGCAAGTTTGGATTAGTTCTCATTGGTTTTATTACTACAGCCAGAGTTCGTAACTTATGCAGAGTAGATTAAAACACACACAAGAGATAAAACATCAAATAGAAGACAATCATGGAGAAAGGGGAGATTCTATAGTGGTCTGGGATTTTTTTTGGTTTGCTTTGTGGTTCTCACACGTTTTTATTAACAACAGGACATAAACAAGATAGGTTATAATATAAAATAATAATCACTTATACTCATAATCAAATATAATTTTAATGTAATACTTATAATCAAATTATTGTGTTAATAATATAATTTCTAATGACAAGTTATGTTTACTGTATATTCTAGCTTTATTACATTGTTATTACAATTTTAGATTAATAACAATTTAGAAATGTACCACAGTGAATGATTTATTTTTGTATTTTATATATATATTTTTTTGTAGTTTTCCATATTAGCTATATGGATTGTATTTTTGTATTGAAAACAGGAAACAACTGCTGCTGAAGTCATAATGAAAGCAGATCCTTACTATAGACACTTACTGTAAGCTTATAACGAACAGGAATATTGGTTTCATAATCTCTCACTGTAAAGTTTTGTTTCAGAATGAACTGTGCTTTTTCCAGACCATTTATCAACATGTTACAGAGGCATTCAGAAGATGAATTATTAACAGAAACCACAAATGAACCATGCAGGCTACAAGTCAGCATAGGTTTGCAACACACACAAGAGAGAAAACATCAAACAGAAGACAATCAATCATGGAGAAAGGGGAGATTCTATATTGGTCTGGGATTTTTTTTGGTTTGCTTTGTGGTTCTCACACGTTTTTATTAACAACAGGACATAAACAAGATAGGTTATAATATAAAATAATAATCACTTATACTCATAATCAAATATAATTTTAATGTAATACTTATAATCAAATTATTGTGTTAATAATATAATTTCTAATGACAAGTTATGTTTACTGTATATTCTAGCTTTATTACATTGTTATTACAATTTTAGATTAATAACAATTTAGAAATGTACCACAGTGAATGATTTATTTTTGTATTTTATATATATATTTTTTGTAGTTTTCCATATTAGCTATATGGATTGTATTTTTGTATTGAAAACAGGAAACAACTGCTGCTGAAGTCATAATGAAAGCAGATCCTTACTATAGACACTTACTGTAAGCTTATAACGAACAGGAATATTGGTTTCATAATCTCTCACTGTAAAGTTTTGTTTCAGAATGAACTGTGCTTTTTCCAGACCATTTATCAACATGTTACAGAGGCATTCAGAAGATGAATTATTAACAGAAACCACAAATGAACCATGCAGGCTACAAGTCAGCATAGGTTTGCAAACTCTTGGCTTATTATGAGAACACAGCAGAGAATGAGGATACAGCACAATTCACACAAACACGGAAGCTATCTACAATTCAACAATCAACAGAGCACTGAGAGAAAGAAAATACAGAAAATAATTGTGCATAGAGTTTGGCCTCCCGCCAGTGCTTTAGTGCACAGCCCATCTTGACAAACTCATTACCGTGAGAGGTAAGACGGAGCGAGACTGACACCGTCTCAGCACTTCCGCCCGCGACAGACCCTGAAACCGCACCTCAGCACTTTCGTATCATCCTACAGCCCCAGACCAAGGCTCAGTCTGTCTCTATCTCACACACACACACACACACACACACACACACCAGTCACATGGACCGGTTGGTGTACAGTACAGGTGGGCTACTGGATCTCTAGCCATTACATAACCATTTGAGTCACACATGAAGCTCCACTGAGGCTTATTGTTCTTAGCAAAGCCTGCATGTGTCCTGCTGTCTTGTTTTCCATCTGCAACTTTATCATATTACACAAAGTAGGTTCAGACTGAGCATTGTTGATTTAAATTAACAGCAGTAACTTCAGCCACAAAAACTAAATTGTTTCTATTTACTCATCCTCAAGTTCCAAACCTATTTGATTTTCTTTCTAATGTGGGACAAAAAAAAGAGGAAATTTCTCAAAAGTATTATAAAAGTAGTTCAAATGGCTCGTAAGCTATATTTCTAGTCTTAACCAGATTTAACCCTGATTAACTCAAGAATCAGTTGGTTCTGACTCAAAAGAATGATTCACAAATCAGACATCACTACATTAAAAATAGTGACCAGTACATTCTTCAAAATATCTCCTTTTCTGTCCCACAGAAGAAAGAAACTCATACAGGTTTAGAACAGTGTTATTTTTGGTAACTACATATAAAACTTGTAAAAATCATCTTTGTTAGTTGAAATAAAGCTAAAATAATATAAAATATAAATATTAGATGAAAAATTCACTCCTAAAAAGATGAACATTTAAAAATGTTGGAAACTAACTACCTGAAATAAATAAGTTTAAGTTGAAGCACTAAAACGACTAAACCTACAAACTGAAATAAAAATAAATTAAAGCTAATTAGAAACAAAAACTAAATAAAAATGACATCAAAAACACTAAAATTACTAAAACTTTAAAAAAAAAAAGCTTGGTTTGGACTGATAAGATGGTAAATAATGTAACTGTGACAGATTTTTTGGCATGTGGCGTGGGGGTACACTAATCTATACGCAGAAGATTTGGTTAGACTTTAAGAACTGTCAGTATTCTGTCAAGTTATGATCACACGTACGCAGTTTAACCTCTCCATTGTGGTGGGGAGGGCAGGAAGTACTGGCAGACAGTCTAACTAACCTATTAGATGACTTGTGATACTTAATGAAATCTCTTTAAGCTGTGAATCTGTGTGAATGTCTGTGCAGAGCAGGTGGTTGTGTTTATCCATGTCCCATTCTTGCTAAGAACCAGGCTGTCTGTTCTCCAGCTAACCTCATCCTCACTGAAGTCAAAATCTCATATCACGTCTCATGCACTGCACAAAGACTGACTAACAATCCTCAAGACAAAACATGACTAACACCAGTATGCCACATTCACACTCATCTACTACAGTGAATGAGGCTGGTACAAAAGAAAAACAGAACAGCCACGGGTTCCTGTGAAACCAAAGATTTCGATTTTATCAGTTCTTAACAGTCACATGGTGGTTTATGGTAAATTGGATAACCCAAAAAAAAAAAAAAAACAAGACAAAAAAGACTGGAATTAATCGTATGCTTGGTGAAACAAAAAAAGAAATGAAACCAAAGTCATTCTGTGCATTCCTTGCTTACTTTAGAAGTGTTGTCAAAATGTCTAAAACATACACAGTTACAAAGAATTCATGAAATACTGTAAATTTCATGATGAACCAGGACACTCTATATTTAGAAAGGTGTTATTGAGGAAGCAACACCACAAAGGCAGACCGGGCCTCAGCCAGAGTCAACAAAGCAGTCCAGGAAGGACAAGAATCTCAATTCATAAAAACGGACATGTTATGTGCACATGGAAGAGGTGACTAGATGTCCATATGTCTACATACATACACACACTAAGCTTTCTCTCTAAATTTCCATTTAAATATAAGCCTAACTACTAAAAATTATTAAATTAGCAATGTATAAAATAGCTCATAGATAGATAGCTAGATGTTCTCTGCCGAGTTCAAGCATAACTGTTGAATAAATATTATACGTACACACACACACACACAGTCTGGTTCACTATTCTTGTAGGGACTCTCCATAGGCGTAATGGTTTTTATACTGTTCAAACTGTATTTTCTATCACCCTACACCAACCCTACACCTAAACCTACCCCTCAAGTGAATGAGGCTGGTACAAAAGAAAAACAGAACAGCCACGGGTTCCTGTGAAACCAAAGATTTCGATTTTATCAGTTCTTAACAGTCACATGGTGGTTTATGGTAAATTGGATAACCCAAAAAAAAAAAAAAAACAAGACAAGAAAGACTGGAATTAATCGTATGCTTGGTGACACAAAAGAAGAAATGAAACCAAAGTCATTCTGTGCATTCCTTTCTTACACTAGAAGTGTTGCCCAACTTCTAACACATGTACAGTTACAATGAATTCATGAAATACTGTAAAGTTCATGATGAACCAGTACACTATATTTAGTATGGTGTTATTGAGGAAGTAACACCACAAAGGCAGGCCGGGCCTCAGCCAGAGTCAACAAAGCAATCCAGGAAGGACAAGAATCTTAATTCACAAAAATGGACATGTTATGTACACATGCAAGAGGTGACTAGATGTCCAGATGTCTAAATTTAAAGCTGCTGAGGGAATTTAAAAAAAAATCATTTCATTTAAATACTTTTTTGTGCCCTGCCTAGTTCAAGCGTAACTGCTGAAATATATATATATATACATATATA